AACTGTTGTGAGTTTCCTCCTCAATCTTCTTTGCCAAGCGCTCTCTCGAGAACAGGATCTGCTTCATATAGCAGGCCATCTCGCCTTCCACCAGTTTTTCTAGAGCTGCCTTGCACCAAGCCACACCTTACAAGCTCGAGGATGAGATCTCGATTCGCTTCATACCTTCACCAAGTGGCTTCCGAGTGGAAAATGAATGAAGCATAGCAGCATGCCTTCAAAGTCGCACCTAGTGTGCGAAACACGGCTTTGCATGTCAATTTCTACCACTCCTCACAGCCATCGAGAGTCGTGCCTTCAAGGCTAGCAAGAGCATGCGCTGCAGCGTCGTGATCATTCCCGATTCAAGCTTTGGTCGACAAGCCTCTGAGCGCATCAATCACCTCCTCACCAAGTCCAGCTGGTACTCACTTGCAGAACGTTCACCCGCGGCTTTTCCATGAAGCACGATAACCTTCGTCATCTTCTTCCCACTCAAAGTCTGAGCAGTGCCATTGTGTCGCTTGTCAACGCTCGAACCAAGCCCGACTGGATTTCCAAGAACATGAAACGGGGGCGGCTCCACAGATTTTACTGGCTCAGGAGAGTTCTTGCTTCACCTTCTCAGGATCCAGATCAAGGTTGATGAAGGGAGATGAACACACCTGACTGTGAGCGCTGGCTAACTTTACACGAATCATCATGTGTGCACTTGGACAAGATAAACATAAGGTAAGAACTTTTATATATATCTTGATGAGCATCCTTAGCTTGGGACGTATGTGACGTATGGGCCACAGACGACTTTTCCCGTACATGAAAGTATCACGGTATCCATGTCTCCAGGATCGCACTCGGCAACCACGAGGCCTCTATCTCGTAGACGACGCCATAAGATAAGAAAACGCAGCTCGCTGGTTAGCTTTCTTCACGGAAGTGATAACCAGACTCTTGCCGGCCTTACATTGTGCGTCTGGGGCCCCGAGTTTCAGCGCAAGTTGGGCCTTCACCGCACTCGTCAAGGAGAATGAGCAGCTCGTTGTCAACCAGCTTCGAGGTGTCTGCATAGCGGACCTCCACGCTCGTGAACGATCCAGGCGCCAGTATTTCTTTCACCTCCGCCCAGAGTCACGGGCGTTCGAAATCCCAGCTGCTTCCACTCGTTCTGAAGCCAGCGCTTCTGTCTCGCCACGGTTGTCATGACAGTTTCCACTGCCATGGCTTCTGTAGCATATACGTGCAACCTTGTGTAGCTTAGCCTCGAGCTGCTTTTGTAGCAAAGTTAGTCCCCTCTAGTTTTTGCCGCAAACTCTAGCCATGAGAGTGTTCTAGGCCATTCTTGGCCTATTAAAAATGATCCAGTCGGCTGTTGTTCATCCCCGACAGATCCATTTAACTGAGCTTCCAGTGTATCTAACGAGGATGGAAAGTTTGAGACGAGTCCCTGTAGCAGCTTCCACTGAACGATCGATTCTTGCAGCTCCTGCTGGACTTTTTCCCACTGGTGTAGTGAAAGTTCTTACCTTTGCTGTTCCTCCTCGAATGCTTGAAATTGTGCTGCTCCTTCATCATCTTTCTCGCAAGAGAGTTCGTGCTGCCTCCTGAAGTGTGCGATTCATTCGCTCTGCTACACCGTTCTGCTGCTGTGTGTCAGGGATTGAAAATTGCCGCTGTATTCCAGAGGAAATACAAAAACTGGCAAATTCCTTGGATGTATACTCCCCACCTCCATCACTTCTTAGCATTTTGATTCTCTTTCCTGTCTGCAACTCCACCTGAGCCTTGTATTCCTTGAATTTCTGGAAGGCTTCTGACTTGAGCTGGAGGAACTTCACTGCTACGATTCGTGAGTAGTCGTCTATGAAGGTCACGAAGTATAGCTTCTTGTCTCTGGAAAGTGTGGGCATATTGCCAGAGAGATCAGAATGAATCAGTGCTAGAGGTTCTTTAGCACGATTAGTGGCTATCTGTGGAAAAGGGAGCCGGTGATGTTTACCGAGTGCACACGGCTCGCAAAACTTCATCGCACTTGATGAAGTGATGCTCAAACCTTTTACCATCTCTTTTGCCGCTAGTTCTTTGATGTCCTGTAGGTTGGTGTGGCCGAGTCTCCTGTGCCATATCTGGAGGTCTGCTGCTTTTTTCGTCCCAGCAAAAAAAGCTTTTACTGGCTGCACCACCTCGGCATTAAGTTGATAGAGACCAGCCTGTCTACTCCCACAAGCTATTCCATTTCCATTCACGTCTGTGATTGCACACATCTTTTTTGTGAATGTGATCTCCAGATCACGATCAGCAATCTTTCCCACTGAGAAGAGTGTCTTGTTCACTCCAGGAACATAGTAAACATTCTTCACGCTGGCAATCTGTCCTGTTGGCAGCTTGATGTCGATCGTCCCAACACCCTCCACCTTGTATGAGTAGTCGTCGCCAAGAAAAATTCGTTTATTTCCTGGGACCTTCTTCAACGTGGTGAAAAATTTCCTGAGGTGCGTCATGTGTTTGTTTGCCCCAGAATCAAGGTACACCACTTCTGCTTCTGTGCCAAGAGTGTTCTTTGCAACCTGCTGGATACTAGTGGCCATGAACAAGCTGCCATGGTCGTCCACATCCTCCTGGTTGTCTTCCTCGCTACTTTCTGCTGTCCTGGCAAAGTTGGCCGACTTGTTCTTTCTTGCTGCCAGTCTCTTTGCCTCAGCTTTTCGCGCCTCCTTAGCTTTCTTGGCCTCTTCATCTGTGCAATCTCGTGCCCAGTGCCCTGGTTTCTTGCAAATGTTACAGCGATCATTCTTCTTTTTCTTCTTGAACTTTTCTGGTTTGCTGCTCTCGCCCTGAGCGTTCATTGGTCCTAGTCTGTCCCACACTGTGACAGATCGTTTCCCCTTTCCTGCGAAGAGTGCCAATTCTTTCTCATTTGAGCTCGCTTGCCCTGACTTGAGAAAACCCTCCAACGCTGTGAGGTCGGCTACGATCTGGCTGAAAGTGTTACTGGAACTTAAATGATGCGACCTTGCGAGTTGCATTGGTCTGCTAAGCCCCTTGAAGAACGCTGTGATCAGCTCATCTTCATCGAAGTCTTTCATTTGAACTGCATCGATGGATTCTGTCTGAAGAGAAGAGAGCGGCCCTGAGACGCTGACAAAGGCAGCGCCATCGTCCCAGGATCTGAAGCCCTCAGGGCTCCGATACCATATTCGGGATAGAAATCACGAATGTACTCTGGAATGCCAGCCGCTGCTGGCGCTACGCCCGGGGCCTGCCGGGCGTCTCTCTTATTGACTATAAGAACTGAACAGACACGACGGGTCAACTTGACCCAAGAGGGAATCACGAATATTCCCTCAATAGCTTCCAGTGTATCTAACGAGGATGGAAAGTTTGAGACGAGTCCCTGTAGCAGCTTCCACTGAACGATCGATTCTTGCAGCTCCTGCTGGACTTTTTCCCACTGGTGTAGTGAAAGTTCTTACCTTTGCTGTTCCTCCTCGAATGCTTGAAATTGTGCTGCTCCTTCATCATCTTTAGGACACCCTCTAACTGCGTTGCAGCTCCTTGGCAACTGATGTAGGCTGTGAACACAGTTCTAATCTTTTCACTCTTGCTCATACCACTGCTCCAAATGAGTTACCCTGGTGATCCAAGCGCTCTTCACTCGAAGGTGGAGTTTTTGGGCAAAAACTTCACGAAAGAAAGTCTATTGCCGCAGCCTTGTCGAGGTAGCAGAGCTTTGGACTGCAGTTGGAATGACAGCCACCGACGCCTCATGAAGTATGTGAGTGGACAGGTTGCCTCATGAAGCATGTGAATCAGCTCGATGAAAGCATAGGCCCATGGATTGCTGTTCTGCCCAGGCACAGACACAAGAGCTAGTTTTCCACCATGAGCGGCGAGCAACGATTCAGATAATTCTAATGCCAAGATTCAGGCCAGAAAATCTCACAAAATGCAGTCTTGCCTCTTGTTCGCCCGCTGCTCAGTAGCGCCAATGCGAACCTTAAAACGTTTGAGGGGGAACGAGGAGTTCTACCTTTCCAAAAAGTACAGCATGGCCACCATGCCAAAGCTAATCATCCATGGGGAACTAGCCACTCCCTCCTTTCGATTCTACAGCGAAGCACCTTCTCTTCCCGCTTATTGAAGAGCCATGGTTCTAAACAAAACTTCGAAGGATTGCTAAAAATTTCTAGAACTGCCTTTTTTGCAGCTCAACGGATTACTTTTCAAAGAAAGGAGTATAATTGAAGTCTGAGAATTTCCAGGATAAAAATCCAATTATCACAATCTAAAAGTCACCTGAAAAAAACATTCAAAAGGTTTTTATGAGTTACTCAACAAGGAGAAGTTCAAGAATTTCAAGGTCTCACATAAGGAACTAGCTATTAAGTTCTTAGAGATCAAACTTGATGAAATTGTTGAGTTTGATTAAATAAATTGCTTGTACTCACAGAGAGCATTGCAGATTGAAGCATACAAGAGGTAAAATGATCAAGATCTGATGATCTTCCATCGTTAGGAATTTGAAAATCATCGTAACCTGGATTCTGGCTAAGAGCGCTTGCTTTGATGGACTTGCAAAGCCTTGTCACGCTCCAAAGCAACCTTGGCTCTCTCGTCCTCGGGAATCTGATAGTAGTTGTCGCTATCCTTGGTGTTCATCTTCACAGCAATTTCATACACCTTTCTCTTGTAGGCAATCTCCTGCTCCTCCCTCTTGCTCAGCTTCTCGCCCTCAAACAAGAATTTCTCGTCTAACAAACTGTCTCTGAGCTGCGCCACTATTTTTTCTTGCCTAGTCTTGAGATACTTTTCACGAGAACGAGCCCTCAATGCCTCTATCATTCTCCGTTTAATCTCTTCCTCGTGTTGGGACATGTCTGCCTCCTTCTTTGAAGTGTTCACCATTTTCTTGCAACCCTAGAACTTGGAATCCCTTAAATAGTTTGATCCTGGCCTTTTGAAGAGAATATACCTAGAATATGCTCAAGCTATCATTTTGGAAATTAGGGTTCTTCGCATTATTTTCTCCTTTTTTGTGGCCATGGCTCGCTGGCTGCGCAGGCTCAATCCACTCATGTCCGTCGCGCAGTCCGAGGCGGCCTCTCCGATCCCGATCTCTCCGGCGCTGGCGGCGTTCCGAGAGCGATTGGCAAGCGATGCGCCGGAGCTTAAGGATTTCGTGAGCGAGGGCTCGGGTGTGGAAGGCTACTCGGTGGCGGTGGGGACGCGGGAGGATCCGCGGCGCAAGCCGGATTGGATGAAGCGGATCATTCCAGGTGGGGAGAAGTACACGAGGATCAAATCGCAGCTGAGGGAGCTCAAATTGAATACCGTGTGTGAGGAGGCCAAATGCCCCAATATTGGAGAGTGCTGGAGCGGTGGCGACACGGGCACGGCCACTGCGACGATCATGATCCTGGGGGATACGTGCACCAGAGGCTGCCGGTAAGCTTTCTTCTTTCTTGCTAGTTTGTTCTTGGATGCATTGCTGGTTTGCTGGACAGTATTGGTTTTTCTTCTTGGTACTCTAGATCTTTTCTTTCTCAACATACTAGATCATTGCTCCATTTTTTTAGATCTTTTCTTTCTCAGCATACTCGATCATTGCTCCATTGTTTCTTTCTTTGTACTCTTTCTCGACATACTAGATCTGGTTTTGTCTTGGTACTCTCTTCTCCATTGTTTCTTTCTTGGTACTCTTTCTCAACACATTGTTTTTTTTCTTGGTAGTTTGCTTGCTCTAACTAGATAACGTTGAGTTCTTCACCACTGCTAGCTTTCTCTTGCGATTCCATGCTGGTTTGCTTTCTGTTTATTTTGCGTGAAGTTTCATTGTTAGTTTTTTCCATTCCTTTGTGAAGCTACTTGTACACTTTTTTTCTTTCTCGTGTTAACATTTTTCTCGTTCCTGACGTGCAGATTTTGTGCAGTGAAGACATCGCGAGCTCCACCTCCACCTGATGCAGACGAGCCAGCCAAAGTTGCTGAAGCGATTGCCTCTTGGGACCTCGAGTATGTGGTGCTCACGAGCGTGGACCGGGATGATTTACCCGATCAAGGAAGCGGGCACTTCGCCGAGACAGTGAGGAGGATCAAGCAACGCAAGCCGGGCATGCTGGTTGAGGCCTTAGGTGAGCTTATGCCAGCATCTGGAGGAACTAACGTCGTCTTCTGTCGCAGTTCCCGACTTTCGAGGCGATCCCGACTGCGTGGAGAAAGTGGCCACCTCTGGACTGGACGTCTTTGCGCACAACATAGAAACCGTGCAAGAGCTACAGAGCTCGGTCCGAGACAGGCGAGCAAACTTCCAGCAATCCATCAACGTCTTGAAGATGGCCAAGCTGACAGGTCCTCGCGGGGTTCTCACCAAGACCTCGATCATGCTGGGCTGTGGCGAGACATCTTCACAGGTTTTGGAGACCATGGCCAGAGTGAGAGACGCCGGCGTGGACGTGATGACTTTCGGGCAGTACATGCGACCGACGAAGAAACACATGCCAGTGTCCGAGTACGTGACTCCGGAAGCGTTCGAGAACTATCGAAGAATCGGAATGGAAATGGTACGTTTTCGAAGTTTCGAAGTGTTTTTGTTTTTTTTTTTCCAGCTGAAGCGTGAAAATCTCTTTTTCCTTTGTTTCTTACAGGGATTTCGATATGTGGCTTCAGGCCCAATGGTGAGATCCTCCTACAAAGCTGGAGAGTTTTACATCAAAGCGATGCTCGACGCAGATAGAGAGGCAGCGATGGTTTCATAGAAAAATATTAAAGGTATGATTCTTTCGCGCGGAGATTGATTCCGATTTAAGAAGAGCCGTCGGATTCTCCACGTCACCGATTCCCGCGGCGGAGGATCGTGCGGCCTAGCGGCGCCCCTCCAGATCCGCCGCTTGGCCTCTTCCTCTTCGAGTGTGACTCTTGGCCACTTTGGCCAAAGAGTCGAGCTCTTGAAGAAGAGGAGGAGGAAGAACTTGGGCGATCGAACAAACGAAGTAGAAGATCATGGCTCGACGGAGGAAGAGCCGGAGCCGGAGCCGGGGTGGCAAGAAAGTCCGCGTGCCAAAGATGAAACTCGCGGTGCGCGATGCTCTGGCGTCGCTCAAAGCCAAGAGAGGTGTCACAGCTGCGGCGGTGGCCCGGAAGATCAAGAAGAAGTATGGAAACGATCTCCCCAAGCGCTTCCAGGCCCAGGTGGGGCGATCGCTGCGCGGGCTGGTCCGAGCGGGGCGGCTGGAGCGTGTGCGCGGCCGCTTTGCGGTGGCCACTGGCAAGAGTGGACGAGGCGGGCGACGTAAAAGAGGTGGACGGTCGAGATCGAGATCGACGTCGCGGAAGGGCGGGCGGCGCCGCCGCCGTCGCCGCCGCCGCCGCCGGGGTGGACGGCGATCGCGATCGCGGTCGCGGTCGAGGAAGGGCGGGCGGCGCCGCCGGCGTCGCAGACGCCACTAGAAAATGGTGCGGGCGCATATTCCTTTGACTCGTTGGTTATTTTTGTGGTTCTTTTACGTGTTTGTGGAGGTTTTTGGTGCAGGAATCAGAGACGCATTCGATGATGAGATCCATGACACGAACATCCTTTAATTTTTTCGAAAATGCCACTACTGTGTTCTTTTGACGAATAAAATTTTGAGATTAGATCCGACCTCGAGCTTCTTCCTAATTTCTTCTTTAACTCCTCCGACTTTTTTTTTATCCACGCCCGCCCCATCCGTTTGGAAGTTCCGCTCTAAATTCAGCAACGAATTCATTAGTTTTCGCCTTGCATTGCAGCAAGAAAGGGAAGCAAATCATCGGAGAGGCGGGGCTTTTCGAGCGAAGTAGGTCGTCTCGCGAGCCGACTCTGCGCACTAGACAATTACACACAGTGTTTCGAATTAGAGTTTTCATGAAGAACTTGCAAACTTTGGACTGGGCTGGTGCTTGAAAGGAAAAAAGTAGAAAGAAAGATTGTGATTTCAATGGACCTCATGTCGTCCAGTGTCTGCTGGCATTTCAGGTAATGAAAAGACGACGTTTAACTTTGAAGCAGCGAACTCTATCTACGACTATGTTCCAGCGCTTCTACTACAGATCCCACTTCATTGCGACCAAAAAAGTGGCAGCGTCCAAGGACTGGTATCCAGGGATGAGTTCACAAGCACGGAAAGACTTGAAATTGTAACCCATCATCTGGTAAGAAGCTGCAAGGATGATCCCTCTGCGACTAAGGCGTCTGCTGTGGTTAAATTGGAGTTTCGAACGTCCAAGGAGAGTACTGGTAGTCTGGGCGCCCACTCCCCGGCCTCCACACCAGATCCGATCTGGCTCATTTGGTTCGTATGAATACTGGACGGCGTGCTTGAACGACGTCTCTGGGTACATTCTGGAAAACTTTTCATGGTGAGGCTTATTGCATTGATTCAAGAATTGTTTTAATAACTGGGAAGGAAATTTTGACCTCGTTAAAGTGGATTGTAGAATTATAAATTTTTATTAGAGATTATTATCTAAAATAAAATGTACTTTTTATAATAGTAAGATAGAATTGGCTGAAGTAAGAACAGTATAAAAAATAGTTGTGTTTATACAGAATTTATAATAACTGCAAGCAAGGTGCTTTAAGTTTTTATGGAAGTAAAATTGCATTTTATGGTATATTTGGTAGTAAATACAAAAATATTTTTCTGTTATATAGTTTTTTGGGGGTTTAAATATAAATGTAATATAATAAGAATACAGTCAATTTAACCTATTAAAACTCAGTATATAGTATTTAGAAATATTACTTGATAGGCTGATATAACATTTGAAGTTTTGCTTAATTTTCAAACATTTCAGAGTGATTTTTTCTAAATGTAATGTTCTATTTATTCTTTTATAATTATATATAAATATATTCTTAAACAGCTCAGTTCTATGCAAGTTGATGAGATCCCTTAAAATATTAACCATCCAATTAATAGGAAGCTAGAACTTCTTACATCTTAAGAATTTAATGAACCATTCTACTTTCTAAGATTTCCTCACCAATCAAATTAATCTAATGCTTTGTGATCCTTTTTATAAAGTCATTTTCTTTGTAATAATCAAATGTGCATATTTATTATCAAAATATATTGAACAATAACCAGCTGTTTCTTGATTAAAATGCAAAACTTACGTATCTTTTTGTTATGTGTGTGTACTTTATTACTTCATATTAAAGCATCTATTTAATTCTATGTAGGCCAGAATAGACGGATTCTTTGTTAGTCTCTATATATAACTTAAATTACAAAAGCACATTTTAAATATATACTCTGAATATCTATTAATATTGCTGCACGGATTCTTTTGTACTCTTTCTCTTCCTTCCTCTCTCCAGCTTCCCTCCACTTGCTCGGCTTGTTTGTTCAGGGAGCATTTCCTCCCTTCTCATCTCTCTTTTGCTGAATTGGAGAGTTCTTATGGGACAAATCCTGACCCTTATCTTACTTAAGAATATGCGTGGTATAAAGGTTAGCGTTTGAGGGTTGCATCAGTGAGATCGATTCGATTGATTCTCCCGCCTGCCAGGTAATCGATCGCCAAGCTCGGTCGCTCATGGAAACCTAATTATTTGTGCCGCCCAGACTGTGGTCGCGCATCGGAGCTACATCTTGTTCCAAAGCTCTTCTCAAGGCCCTCTTTGATTGCATTGCTTCGTTCCTCCAGATAAGGGATTAAACGTATCTTAAACGTATCTTTTCAATACAGTAGGGACAAGAACAGCTACCTGTGGGTTCTAGACATTTCCTTTTTGAGGATGAAGGCTTACGACGGCAGCAGTAGCAACGGGCAGCACAAGAAGGCCTACGGCGGCAGCAGCAACGGGCAACACAATGTGTTCACAAAGGAAAAGCCCAAGGAGGTGGACATTTTTGCAATCGAGAACCCTGCTGAACGCAGGCGAGCAAGGTAAGCAAGACTGAGTTTGATCTTTACTTGCTTTTGTTTGTAACAGGTACGAGATCATAGGAACTCATCGTCCGGGTGAGGAGGAGGGCTTACTCGTCGACCAATGCAGAAGATGTAAGCAGAGAGGCCATTGGGAAAGACACTGCAAGGGGGTAAGAAAGCTCACTTATTTCCCAGATTTGACTTTTTGTTTCTTCTTTTAGCCTGGAGTGGATCCTTTTGCTCATGAACAAAAGAAATGCTACCTCTGCCTAATGAAGGGACACGATACTTATCAATGTTCAAGAGATCCCCTGCGAAATGAGGACTGGGCAGAGAGGACTTACACTGGACCAATGAAGAGACTTCGTCTTCAGGTTTGTATCAGTTTCTATTCTCTGTTTCTTTGTATGTTTATTTGTGTACGTTTTCAGGTGGGTTATATCGTTCAGGTAGCAGACTTCCCGCAATACCATCCTCGTTTCTGCGTCCAACGGATTGAATACGAACACCTCAAACGGATCTGCAAAAAACATCCAGACTTGGGAATCATGGTTGTGCCTGAGCCACCCTGTCCTCTTGCGGCCCTTATCTGGGAATATTTTCAGCGACTGGATGAAGTTTTATACGAAGCAGGCCTAGGCTTCGAGTTTTACAGATCCGATGAAGAAGTGCCTCCAGGGTATGACCGGTATGCGGCTGCAGAAGAAGCATATATTGAAGAATTGAAAAATGAAGCGAAGCATTGAAAGGTGATGTGTTTTAATAAAGTAATAGAATAAGTATTATAGATGAGAAGACCTTTATAAGTTATTTTTCGTTTTCATTGATGGGATACTTTTCGCATTAATTAAAACTAGCTAATGTTTATGTTTAAAACTAGTTTAACGCCTAGAGAGATTCTTTCTGGGAGAGTGAAGAACTCCTCCTTCCCGCTCAAGCGTTTTAGGGTTCGCATTGGCGCTGCGGAGCTGGAAGCGGCGGGCGCTGGATCGTCCCCACAAGAGGCAAGACTGCATTTTGCGAGAAATTTCTGGCCTGAATCTTGGCGTTGTTGGCAGTAGAATCGCCGAAATCTTTGCTCGCCGCTTCCCTGGTAGAAATCTGGTGCTTTTGTGTCTGTGCCTAGGCAGCGCAGCGATCCATGGGCCTACGCTTTCATCGAGCTGGAGAGGTCGCAACGCGGTGCTGGTACTCACGAACCGCCGCCGCCGGATGAGGCGTTGGTGCCTGAAACGAAGCTGGTGTTGCGCCATCATTCCAGCCGCGGTCCAAAGCTTTGCTACCTCGACAAGGCCGCGGACATTGGTCGCTTGAGGAGCTGCGACGCAGTAGAGGGTATCCTAAAGACGATGAGGGAGCAGCACGAAAGCATTCAGAGGAGGAACAACAAAGTTAAGAACTTTTCACTACACCAGTGGGACAAAGTCCAGCAGGAGCTGCAAGAATCGATCGTTCACTGGAAGCTGCTACAGGGACTCGCCTCGACGTTTACATCCTTCATCCTTCAAAATATACGAGCTAATCAGGTACCAACCACAAGCTTTTTTGTTATCTTGGTTTCATCGCATTAAACTATGAACACTGCTACAGGTCACTGTGCTGATTGGTGAGACTGGCTCTGGGAAGAGCACTGGACTCATGCAGTATTTATGTGATGGTGGTTTATCGAGCAACGGGAAGTTCCATCGTTTGTACACAGCCTAGGAAAGTAGCAGCATTTGCTCTTGCACGACGGGTTGCCGAAGGATGCCGCTGAGAAGACGAATTCCATTGGCCTCTTGGAATACAGGGCTCAACAAGACCTTGCCAAAATGGTACGGATTTACTCCTAGCAGTGCTGAAGGAATGTTTACGCGCACTTGAGAGTCATCGTCATGTCAGCTACAGCCGATGCCGAGCTTTTCGTTCTTGGAAGGAATTTCCCGGTTGAGATCCACTACGAACAGCGTGAGACTTCAACCACGTAACAAGGACAATGGAAAGAGTTTGCGAGCTTCACAAGGAGGCCGATTGAGGGAGATATATTGGCTTTCCTCACGGATATCGAATGGGTCTGCCAGTGATTGGCAAATACGCCGCGTGCACTTGTGCTGCCTCTTCATGGAAGGCTTCGTCAAGAGGATCAGCAACTGGTATTCGAGGCAGCACCACCTGGTACGGGAAAGATGGTCTTTGCAACAAATATCGCCGAGACGTCTTTGACGATGCCAGGAATCAGGTACTTCAAAGTTCTTTTACGATAATCTTCCTTGAAGCATGTAGCTGATACTCGCTTTCTCGGCTTCTAGGTACGTGGTGGATCCAGGATTGTCAAAGCAAGCCATCTTTGATCACAGACTGGGATGACAACGCTGGAGCTTACGGCAATCAGTCAAAGCCGCGACTCAAAGAGCTGGTCGTGCAGGGCGCATTAGTTCTGGTGTCTGCTACAGATTGTACAGCGATGAAGACTTTGACGACAATGCTCTGGTGGGGACTTCGGAAATTTCCCGTTCTCACATGGGGATTATCAAGCTCCTGGCACTAGGCGGATGATGAAGTGAAGAACTGGAGGCTCACGAAAAACTGGCCAAGATAGGAGTGGAGCCACGGCTAGGCAAGATCATCCTCGACAGCCAGGCTCACTGTTGTGGTCGAGAAGTCAGTACCCTGTGATGACCATCTTCTTCCGAGCCGGCTCTGAAGAAGCAAGCTCCTGGCAGACCGCCGGAAGATGCGCTGCTGTCATCGGCATGGAGACCTGTTCAGCCTCTTGGACGTGTACCGGGAATGGAGCAGCAAGCTCGGCTGATAGCGACAACGAAATGAAGAAGCGCAGATAACACAGTTGACTTTGAAGGTATGCTACTACTCTTCATTCATGTTCCAGTAGGAAACCACTTTGTGAAGGTATCTCCCAAGGCGTATGGTACGAAGCGAATCGAGATCTCGTCCTGGAGCTTGCAAAGGCAGCTCTAGATAAACTGGTGGAAGGCGCTCCTTTTGAAGACGGCCTGCTGGACGAAGCTGCAATGAATGCAACCAGAAGGAGCGACAGATCTCACTGACGTCCACTTGGGATGATGAGAGTTCTGGTTGGAAAATCCGGGGTCGACTTAGCCGGGCTGGAAAAATCAGTGGGAGCTCCAGTGGCATTCCTTGTACGTACATGGGGACGAGGAATGCGTGGAGAAAGCAAAGCAGGAAGCAGCGTCCTGGAAGAACGAAGCAACCCAGCAGTGGCAGCGATCGTCAACGAGTGCAAGCTCAGGCTGTCAGGAGGTGTTCCTCGCCGTCGACTTCGCGGCCTTTCAGCAAATGGACGAGCTGTGCAAAGCTTCCGTGGGAGTTTGCGTGGCCACGAGCGGGGGAGCCACAGGTCCGGACTGCGAAAGCTCATCAGCGATCTTTGTCTAGAGAGCTTACTAGAGATTGAAGCAAAAAGATAAGTAGTTTGCTATATATAGCATTAGGTTTACTCAGCCCTCTTCAGCGACGACACAATGGAGGAGGCTGCTTTGGAGTTGCTGCGGTTCTACGTTTCTCACTTCGATCTTCCCACAGTGAGAATAGCTCCTGTAAAGAAGCAAAACGCACGCAGGCAGGAGTTCATAAAATGGCATTCTAGTGCCCAATCTTTTCGTTTGATGGGCCTTCTCCCCAAGGAGGAACTTCCTCCTGATTTGCGACGCTTTGGGTTTGATACTTCTCCGGAGGCTCCACCGCCCACAAGGGCACCACGCCCTGTGGCGCCTACTTGCTGGGGTCGTTCACGACCCGAGTACGAGCGCCTCAAGGCTGCATATGACACAAGAGTGCAAGCGATGGAAGACATGTATCGTGCGGCAAGGGATGCCTGGGATGTTCAACACCGAAATAGAGTCCGCCAGCAAGCTGTTGTTTCAAGGTTCAGGGCTCTTATTGAGAGCCACAGAGGGGCACCTCAGTTGCACGTGCTAGGTGCTTCTTTCCAACATAGTGGCAAGGTGGAGACTCGTTTTGATGGTCTCTATGTGGTTGTGGATGGTGGGGAAAGGTTCCTCTGTCTTACTCCAGAAGAGATCTTCCCTAGTGGTGTGCAGGAGATCCCTTTGTTTGGGATATGCAGGATTGGCGACATTAATCATGAATTTTACTCCTGGGTTATGTCGAAATTCGAGGTAGGTCATGTGGTGAAGTATCCGGATTACATACGAGAGTACCCACACGGCATACCATAAATGCTCCCTCTCTACTGTCAACTGTAAATTGTTCTGTGGTAATAAAAGTATAATAAAGCTAATGTTTCAATATAAAATGTAAACAGTAAAGAATAATGTGTCCATTTTAGTTGATAGAAAATTGCTATATCACTTTCTTGCCCAAGAGAAATCTGAAATGAGCAATCAAGCACATAGAGGAATGGAACTGGCTTGCGTGTGTGTGATAGTGTGTGCCACACTTGGCACGCACACGCTGGACGAAATGGGAGACAAAGACCTCCTCCTAGAGCTCTCCATAAAGAAATTCTGTCTTCACATCGAGCTAGTGAGCTACTTGTCCTAATGTGCATTTGAAGTCTGAGAATCGCATGGACACAAATATTTTGCAGCAGTAGCTGAACTCTGTCAAGCAGGCTCTTCTCCATAGGCAAAACAATGGCGTGCAGCTATGGAGGAGGAGTACCATTCGCAGCAGGCAGGAAGGAGGGTGGTCAGCACGAATGCTGTTCAGGCTCAAGCTTGATGCTGCTGAGGTGCTGCGCTACAAAGATTGCTTTGTAGCAAGAGGACTTTCCCAGGTGGCAGGAGTTGATTTCTCATAAACATTTCCTCTAGGTGCATTTTGGAAAACTTGTCATGGTGAGGCTTACAATCTCCAATCTTCCACTGTGCATTAGATCTAATAAGTGGAAAGGAGATTTTGACCTAGTTCATCAGCATAAAGTAAATTAGAGGGATTGTTATAAATGTTTATTAGAGATTACTATTAAAAAGAAAATGTATTTTTTTATACTAGTAAGGATAATTTGCTACGGGTTGCATGTAACAACGCTTGGTTTGCTTAATAGTAGTATCATTCCTACTTATTAATCCAATTGATCAAATAAAAAATTAGAATTATAAAAATATTTATAATTTATAAATACATGCTATCAACCATTAGATGGTAGAATAAAAAAGAATATACTAGAAAGCGTTTAAGAAAGTTTATAAATTATAAACATGGTTATAAATCATAAATACAAGATTAATCTAAATAAATAACAACCATTGGATGGTAAAATATCCTAGAATATCCAAGAATATTTTAAATATATCCACTACCATCCCAGTCCCTTTACAGGTTTGCTTAAGCAAACCAAAAAATAGTTATGTTTACAAAATTTAATAGTAACTGCAACCAAGGTGATTTAAGTTTTTATGGAGGCAAAATTGCATTTATGGTATATTGGGTAGTAAATACAGAAATAGTTTTTCTGATATATAGCTTTTTTGGGTTTAAAATTTAAATGTAATACAATATGAATGCAGTCACTTTAAGCTATAAAAAGTCACTGTATAATATTTAGAAATATTACTTGATAGGTTGATATAACATTTGAAGTTGTTCTTAATTCTCAAACATTTCAGAGTGATTTTATCTAAATCTAAAGTTCCATTTGCTATTTTATAATTATGTATAAATATTTTCTTAAACAGCTCGATTCTATGTAGGTCGTTGATTAGATGCCTTCAAATATTGACCATCCAATTAATAACATATTTCCTAACCACAGAACAAAAAATAGAGCGTTATTGTATTGGAATGCCAAACTGGGAATAGATATGGAGCATTATAAAAGTAAAATAAAATATAAAAACATTATTTCTATGCATGTATTAATTTATATAAAGCATTTTAAAGGTCTAGTTAAACTATAGTCAATATTTATAAATGTTTTAATTAGAAAAATTATAATACTATATATATATATATATATATATATATATATATATATATATATATATATATATATGTATGTATGTATGTATGTATGTATGTATGTATATGTATATATTCTATTTTGTTGTTTACTTCTTAGCAAATTGGGCCCAAACTGTCTGGAAGGGGTATAGTCCTTATAAAACTTAAATACAACAAACCATAATTGCTGCAAAGCAGTATAATTTTTTAAATATAAAAGTCCAACTTTTAATGATATATATCTTAAAGCTATAAAGAAATATAAATATGATTTTTATTTTAGATTCCCATGTCTAACACCAAGTTTGTACATACTCTTTGTTCCACCTATGTCTTCATCTCGTGAATTTCCTCAGCTCTTCTAATATCTAAGGATTTCATAATTGCAAAATGTATTAGGCAATAAAAAACAACTGTATCAATCTCCTTTCAGCATTCTCCCACCCTTTCTTATATATGATAGAACTAATTCTCAAATATAACAATTCTAGTATATATATTAGTATAGATATGAATTGTATATGATACCTTTATTAATGTATTTGCTATCTGATGTGTCAATATCATTTACCACAACTCTAACCACTTTTTGTAGAAATGTTTCAATTTATTAGTTGGAGTTTTATCCTCAACTATTTGGAACAATCATAATGTCAAAGTCGAACTTCTTAAGATATATATAAAGGAAGAATAAATCATCCATTTTTGTAGGCTAAAAATGCTAGCCTTTAAGAAACTTTCTTCTCTTGTCTTTGATAATATTTGTTCTTCTGTGGAATGTAGCACCTTTGTGATATTAATGATGTAAATTGTTAGGCAGAAATGTTACCACAGCAATCTTTACATGAGTGTAAACACCAGCAATATATATATATACACATCATTGAATTCTACATTGTCTACACATGGACCTATATATAGGTTGAAAGCATCAATATGTTTTGCAATTAGGAAAAAATGTATGTTTTAGAAATAAATATGCTTAGTAAAATGGATTTATGTTCCTCTATAATGTTCCATTTAACTTTTCTACCCGGTCAAACTCTAGTTGACTGTTTATTTTAGTTTATTGGTCTTTTAGCATAAATATTGCATTGAGAAGACAAAAAACAAAAACTCAAAAGGAATCAATTGTAAATTACAAGTAAACGTATCAGTCTATAGGTAAAATTCAAAAATAATATGCATTACTTTTTCTAAAAGCCAGATAATAATTCTGTGTGTGTATTTTACTATTCATTCTAATTTTTTTTATAAAATTAAAACATCTATTTAATTTTATTTAGACCAGCATAGACTCTATATGTAACTTAAACCACAATAGCATATTTTAAATATATACTCTGAATATCTACGAATATTGCTGCTGGATTGTGGATAAAATAAACCTTTAAGTGGATTCTTTTGTACTCTTTCTCTTCCCTCCACTTGCTTGGCTAGTTTGTTCGGGGAGCATTTACTCCCTTCTCATCTCTCTTAAGATTACTATCGTTGCTGGGACAAATCCTGGCCGTTCGTTCGATATGCAACTTCAGAATATGCTTGGTATAAAGTTAAAAATTTGTGTTATAAGAATATAAAAATTTAAGCATACGTGTGTGTCATTTACTCAGTTTTTTAAAAAGTAAATTGAAACTATAACTTAATTATCATCCAAAAATTATTCATCTCTAAGTTTTGTAAATACATGTGTATATATATATGTATTACCCTGCCTAGATTAT